ATTCCACCCTTAAAAGTATAATTAGCAAGCATGGTGGAAATTTCAGCTTCCGGTATATTTCTTTTATTAGTAACAAATTCTTTCATATACTTAGCATAAGGATTCATTTTAAGCATATCGGTTAATCGCATACGAAAAAGATAGGTCTAATCATTTCAGCAAAGCGCATCCTCATCATCCTTTTTCTTGGATGGTTTGGGAGGAAAAGGCATGGGTTTTTGAACCCAAGGCTCTCTTTCCCTACCATGTTTCCTAGCAACAAAGTCTTTCTTATCATAACGTTGATTCTTTGATTGTGGGTTATCAAGATCAACAGCAGGTTCAATTTCTATATCATTATCATTACTAGGTTGAGCATCATCATGAACATTATCATTAGCATTTTCACTAGTTTCAGATTCATTACCAGATTGTGTTTCAGCATCAGAAATAGAAATATCATTTGGATTCTCAGGTGTTTCAGTAATAGGTTCACTAGAAGCATGCAAAGTCCTATCATTTTTCTTTTTCTTCCTTTTAGAAGGACTTGGTGCATCTATATTATTTCTCTGAGAATCTTGCTCAATTCTCTTAGGGTGGCCTTCAGGATACAAAGGTTCCTGAGCCATTCTACCACCTCTAGTCATAACTCTAACAGCGTTATCATTATTCTTACTATTCAATTCATTGAGCAAATAATTTTGAGCTTTAAGTAATTGTTCTACTTGAGTGGTAACCATAGAAGCATGTTTACTAATAAGTTTAAGTTCACCTTTGACATTAGCCATATAATCACCCAAGTGTTCAAGCATATTTGAATTGTATTTCAATTGTCTACCAAAATAAGCATTAAAATCTTCTTGCTTAACCATAAATTTATCAAACTCATCTAAGCATGGGATAGCAAACTTAGTAAATGGGATTTCAGCTTTATCATATCTATAGAGAGAATTTACCTTTAGTACCTGTGTCGGGTTATCAAGGCCACGAGTTTCTTCAATAGGTAATGGAGTAAGATCATATGTTTCTTAAACAGGCGGTGAATTAAGACCATGTATTTCTTCAATAGGAGGTAAATTCTTAACATCTTCAGGTTTAATACATTTTTGTTTCATAGATTTCTTTGCCTCTTGCATATCTTCAGGACTGAGAAATAGAACACCTCTCTTCTTCGGAGTTGGTTTAGGAATAGGCTCAGGAATTGGCTCAGGAAGTGTCCAATTATTTTCATTTGTCAACATATTATTCAATAGAATTTCAGCTTCATCCGGTGTTCTTTCCCTAAAAATAGAACCAACACAACTATCCAGGTAATCTCTGGAAGCATCGGTTAGTCCATTATAAGAGATATCAAGTATTTCATTTTTCTTAAGAGGATGATCAGGCGAAGCATTAAGTAACTTGAGAAGCCTCCCCCAAGCTTGTGGTAGGCTCTCTTCTTCAATTTGCACAAAATTATATATATCCCTTAAAGCAGCTTGTTTCTTATGAGCAAGGAAATATTTAGCAGAGAAGTAATAAATCATATCCTGGGGACTACGCACACAACCAGGATCAAAAGAATTAAACCATATCTTAGCATCACCCTTTAATGAGAACGGAAATATTTTAAGGATATAAAAGTAGTGAATTCTCTCATCATTAGTGAACAGGGTGGTTATATCATTTAATTTAGTAAGATGTGCCACAACAGTTTCAGATTCATAGCCATGAAAATGATCAGATTCAACCAAAGTAATTATATCAGGATCAACAGAGAATTCATAATCCTTATCAGTAACAAAGATAGGTGAAGTAGCAAAAGCAGGGTCAGGTTTCATTCTAGCATTAAGAGATTGTGTATTCCATTTAGCTAATAACCTCTTAAGTTCATAACTATCTTTGCAAGCTAAAATAGCTAAAGACGCTTCTTTATAAAAAACATAACCCTTAGGAATAACGGGCAAGTCTTCATCATCACTTTCATCAATATTATCAGAATCAATAATTTCATTCTCTCTAGCCCTAGCAAGTTGTTCATCAAGAAATTCACCAAGTGGCACAGTAGTATCAAGCATAGAACTAGTTTCATCATAAGTATCATGCATAGCAGAAGTGGCATCATCAATAACATGTGACATATCAGAACGAATAGCAGACGCAAGTTTAGGTGTCGCAAACTTACTCAAAACAGAAGGTGAATCAAGTGTAGAGCTAGATGATAGTTCCTTACCTCCCCTCGTAGTTGAGGGATAAATCTTGGTTTTTGGATCTCTCAAGTTCTTCATAATAATTAGCAGATATAAATCCCAAGTGACTCAAAGAATAGAGCTATGCTCCCCGGCAACGGCGCCAGAAAATAGTCTTGATAACCCACAAGTATAGGGGATCACAACAGTTTTCGAGGGTAGAGTATTCAACCCAAATTTATTAATTTGACACAAGGGGAGCCAAAGAATATTCTCAAGTATTAGCAGCTGAGTTGTCAATTCAACCACACCTGGAAACTTATTATCTGCAGCAAAGTGTTTATTAGCAAAGTAATATGATAGTAGTGGTAACGGTAACAAAAGTAATGTTTTTGATATTTTGTAGTGATGATAGCAATAGCAACGAAAAGTAAATAAGCGAAGAACAATATATGGAAAGCTCGTAGGCAATGGATCGGTGATGGAGAATTATGTCGGATGCGGTTCATCATGTAACAGTCATAACCTAGGGTGACACAGAACTAGCTCCAATTCATCAATGTAATGTAGGCATGTATTCTGAATATAGTCATACGTGCTTATGAAAAAGAACTTACATGACATTTTTTGTCCTACCCTCTCGTGGCAGCGGAGTCCTAATGGAAACTAAGGGATATTAAGGCCTCCTTTTAATAGAGTATCGGAACAAAGCATTAGCACATAGTGAATATATGAACTCCTCAAACTATGGTCATCACTGGTAAGTATCCCGATTATTGTCACTTCGGGGTTAACGGATTATAACACATAATAGGTGACTATAGACTTGCAAGATAGGATCAAGAACTCTCATATATTGAGGAAAACATAATAGGTTCAGATCTGAAATCATGGCACTCGGTCCCTAGTGACAAGCATTAAGCATAGCAAAGTCATGGCAACATCAATCTCAGAACATAGTGGATACTAGGGATCAAACCCTAACAGAACTAACTCGATTACATGATAGGTCGCATCCAACCCATCACCGTCCAGCAAGCCTGTGATGGAATTACTCACGCACGGCGGTGAGCATCATGAAATTGGTGATGGAGGATGGTTGATGATGACGATGGCGACGGATTCCCCTCTCCGGAGCCCCGAACGGACTCCAGATTAGCCCTCCCGAGAGGTTTTAGGGCTTGGCGGCGGCTCCGTATCGTAAAATGTGATGAATTCTTCTCTTTGATTTTTTTTCTCCCCGAAACCAAATATATAGAGTTGGGGTTGAGGTCGGAGGAGCTCCAGGGGGCCCACGAGGTAGGGGGCGCGCCCCTCACCCTCGTGGCTAGGGTGTGGTCCCCCTGGTCTTCATCTTTTGCAAGGATTTTTTATTATTTCCAAATAGACGTTCCGTGAAGTTTCAGGTCATTCCGACAACTTTTGTTTCTGCACATAAATAACACCATGGTAATTCTGCTGAAAACAGCGTCAGCCCGGGTTAGTTGCATTTAAATCATGCAAGTTAGAGTTCAAAATAAGGGCAAAAGTGTTTGGAAAAGTAGATACGACGGAGACGTATCAAGCCACATCTACTTATATAGGGGAGTGGGCAGCCGCGCGTCCACCACCGCAGTGGGCTCGAGCGTTGCCACCGGAGCACATAAGGCCAACGGCCCAGGAAAGCCTGGCCCAGCCACGGGAGAGCGCCCCTGCACCCCCCCCCCCATCCCGAGAGGCTGGCGCGCCGCCCGCTGGCCCCCCTGGCCCAATCACAGGCAAACTGGGCCACTCCGCCAGGCCCAGCTGGGAAACAGGCCCGTCCTCCCGAGCCGGCGAAACCCTAGATTGGTCCTGCGGCTCCCTGGCAGGGACGATCCCGCCGCCGCCGTCAACCCCTATCGACGCCGGCGAGCTCTCTGAGCCCGAGGACAACGGCGCCGCCTCCATTTCGCGCAGCCCCACCTCCGACAAGACGCGTGAACAACCCTCTGGACCTGCATCCGCACCCCTGGGCGGCCGCCAGATCTGCGCCGCCAGGCGACGCCCGCCATGCCCACCAGGAGCAAAAGCACGCCGACGACCGGCCACGAAGGAGCCCCCAAGCTCCTCCGCATGGGCGACAAAGTCACCCACCAAGCACGCCTCACGAGGCCTCAGTGAACCACCACCACTTACCTGACTGCTTACCTGGTCGCCCTCCTTGCCTTCATCGTCGGAGTCGACCCCCGCCAGCGCCCAGAACCGGCTGCCTGAGGAAGATGGGCCAGGAGGCCGCCCTCCGGGCACGGGGCTCCACCGCGCGCGCCCCTCGACAGGACGCACCGCCGTCCAGCCGGCCTCCTCTGCCGCGGCCCCGCAGGGGGCACCCACTCCTTTGCCATCGAGGTCGCCTCCCAAATCGCCTCTCCGTACGAGAGACGTTGGTTCACTCATCAAGATGATAATTAGCTAAAAAAAAGTTGGAACTTGTTTGATTGAGAAAACCGTGAAACTAAAAGGTCGAATTATACACTGCAGCAACAATTTCACCAACGTCAAATTATACCGAAGCTGGAGCAATTTAAGCATATAACTCATGGCCGAGTATCATATCACATAGAGAAAATTAAGGTCCAATGCATCAAAGATAACCACAATGCATCCAATCTAATTATATAGCCAGCATTGCCCAAATGGAGTACATATACTAGTAGAGTCGATCTGGATATTAAGCACCACACCAGCTACCAGATTCGCAATTACAGCACTTGTCCATCAATCGTCACAGCAGAAGTAATGCATACTCTACATTATTCCATAGAACTAGGCTCTCATCAGTACCTCATCATGAGCTGATCCACGACCACGAACATGATCCCTTGCAGCTTGCTGCTAGCTGAACTAGTAGGCTGCGTACTGCACTACTGCTTGTCCGACCCATCACCTCCAAGGAGGTCAGACAGGCAGGTCAGGTTGCACGCCAGGATGAGGCAGACGATGACCATGGTAAAAAAGATCTTGCCGGAGATGTATCTTGGGTCGGCGGCGAGGAAGGTCCAGACGGCGCCGGCGTACATGCAATGGAAGAGGAAGGTGACCGCGAGCGCGAGGTAGGCGAGGGCGCGGCGGGCCCGGCGACGGCGGCATGGGAGCAGCAGCGCCAGCGCCGCCGCGGCCGCCTGGGTTGGGGCGCAGCACAGAATCCCGATCGAGAGGGCGGTTAACCAGGCGGACTCCGCGTCCGTCAGCTCAACGCACGGCAGAATGGAGGAGAGCTGCAGAGGAACACCATATATCAGCTTGGCGCAATGTGAAGCTGTCAAGCATGCGAGCGAGAGGGGTAGGTGGTCACCTGGCTGCACGACACGTCCAAGTAGTCGACGGCTATGTGGCCCACTGCTGTGCCGAAGACGATGGCGAGGGCGTTGAGGAGCGCATATGTGCAGACCGGTGGGACGTCATCGTGGATCTTCTTCTTGGCCGCGCTCAGAGGCAGCAGATGAGGGGTCTTGCCGTCCATGGAATGGAGATCCAAGCTAGGTAGGAGAAGGACAAGTGGACAACCTAGGTTAGTTCCCCTTCTCTAACTTCACGTCGCCAGTCAACAGGAAGGAAGAAGAAGAACACATGACATGAGCAAGGTGGATGGAGATGGAGGGGACTCACCGATCGGATGCACGGGAGTTTCTTCCTATCTTGTTTGCTTGGTGTGTGCTTCTTTCTGAAGGGGCTCGATCTGCAATTACACGGCACAAGGACGACGGTAGTGTCTTTAAGTGCCCGAGAGAGAGAAGCAAAAAAAGCGACGTGAGGCCGCCCCAACACACACACACACACACACACACACACACACACACACACACACACACACACACACACACACACACACACACACACGCACGCACACGCACACGCGAGCGCACACACACACAGGGCGACATGTGACGATCTTATCTCAGGGCGGTGACAAAGGAAACTACCGCGAAGTTGCCCCTATACCCTCTTTGGCAATGGAGTGGGACGCCTCATTTCTTTGCAGGTGTACAAAAACGTGAATGAACTCAGCACGAGCACATGCATTTTGATCAGCTACACCACTCCTTGGCGTTGGCTCGTCGGCATTTTGATTAGCTAGCTAGCTAGCACACAATTGTTCGACTGAATTACATTGTTAATCCTTTTTGACGATGATTTACATTGTTAACCGTCATCTATTAGGTCCATTCATCAACTTGTTTAAATCTGTTGAAATGGGAGGTGAAGTTCCATCAAAGGTCTACACGATTCAACTAAACCCTTATCAACAAAAACGACATTAGCGACATGCATCTACCAAGGCATAAAGCACCCATACCCTCTTTGGCAATGCTGAGGGAGACCTAGTTTCTTTGCAGATGTGCAAAAATGAGAATGAAACATAACCATGAAAGCTAGCTAGCCAGTGGGACGCTTAATATCTTTGCAGTGGACAGTCTCACCACGGGCACACATGCACATGCGTACATGGCAGTATAAAAGGCTAGTTAGTTAGGCAGCTCTTTTTAATTGGGTAGCAGCACGGTCAGCTTCAACTGGCATAGCTTCATTGTTGGTGAGATTCAATTGCTCGTGGAAGAACGGAATTTTTCGATAACTCACACAGGACGAAACCAAAATCTTTGTCAGTCATTTACGGCAGCTTATGATAGAAATTTTGGCCTGGTGAGATTGTTGGATATTGTAATTCTCTACACAAGTAATACAAGTAATTTCCTGAGAAAAGTTCCAACTAGTGTGATTCCTAATAGGATACTGCATACGCATGTAATAACCCTAGTTCGTCCACTTTATGAGAAGCTAGCTAGTATAATAATTTGACTAAATTGTTTGGTCGTCCGCGGGTACAACATCCACTTTCGAATTACATTGTTGACAGATCATCGATTAGATTTTTGACGCACCCATTCATCGGCTTATTTAGCTTTATTGAGAATAAAAGGTGAGGCTCCATTGGTCATCCCAATTCAACTTAACCCTTATCAAAAGAAGGAAACACAAATAGTTTGCGAGTGTGGTTGTTCAACACCCACGGATAATGCACCCCCGCTACACCTATAACTAAGTCGACTTTTTTCACAACAGCACCTTCAAGGAGTTGTGTATGGGATTTCCAAGATTGTTTGCCATTTGTGCAGACCCAGTGGTGCTCCTCTCCACAACTGCCCGCCATGGCTAGTGGAACATCTTGTTCTGACGGTCATTTGGGCAAGTGGAGACCGTAGAGCGGGCTAACTTGTGGGCTGCCCTTTCGCCGGTGCTCGCGGATATTCTGGACGCCATTTCTTGGCATCTTGCACCTTCAGGTGTGTTCTCTGTCGGGCTTGGCATACCATGCTCTATGCCATGGGCAGACTATTGCCTGGACATCTCCTCTATGGAAGGTGCCCATCCCATATGGGACGGAGGCTATCAAGAGAGATCGCCTCACTTATGGGACGGAGGCTATCAAGAGGCACGGGGCGGGCAATGGGATTTGCCCCCATTGTGGTGTTCCAGACATGGGCACCCACATCTTTTTTGTTGTGCATGGTGGCAAGAGCTCTCTGGAGTTTTTTCTGTGAAGCTTTGGGCCTGACGGGGAGACCATAGACTTGGCTGGGTATCTCCAAACCAGAGCCAGTCAGACCGGTAGGAAGTGGTGGCTATTCTAGCTTCTGTTTGCAGCGTTAGCTTGAACATTATGGACGACACATAATAAGATGGTGATTGAAAAGGCCTTCCCTAGACATGCATGTCACTCATTCTTTGAATTCCTCATTTCTGTAGCACTGGCACCCGTCTAGGCAGTGCGACCGCAAGCGTCTGGGACTTATGATGGATGTGTTGCATACCACCGCTCGCCAACTATCATCGCAGCAGGCCCCTTAACTCTGTGACCACTTGGTGGTCCTTTTCCTTTTTCTCTTATGATTTCTTGGGCATGTTTGTGCATGTGCCCCAGCAGACTATCTTATTTTGTTGCACTTAAACTTGTTATATGGACGTGATGTTGACTTTATTTACAAAGTGGGGTGAAATCCTACTTCGAGAGAGAGACAGGGGTTTTCTTCCTGGTTGCCAAGATCAACCATCAAGGCCAGCACATTAGCAATGAGACAATGCCTTCAAGAAGGCAACGATGCAAGTTCGTCGCTGCTGAGTCCAAGCAATGAAGGCGAAAACAAGGGTTTTCACCCCGAACATAAAGTGGTGTTCCAATTGTCGTCTTTAAAACAAATCTTCCGGTCTTCACGCAAGTCCCTACTCTACACCAGGTCGAACTGACACTAGTGGATGGGTGGAACATATTTCCATGAAAGACTACCACCCCGACCATCGAGGGGTCGTCCATGATGCGGAGAAGACTTGGACGCAGCCACTCGACAACTGTGCAAACAATCCTGCAACATCCGCTACTGCACTGGGACCGCCGCCCCAACTTCATCCGCGTGAGCAGAGACAGTCGTTGTTGTGCTTGAGGCAGAATGTTGCAGGATTAACCACAAGTAGGTTTAGAATAGGGTTAATTAATTAAAACAAGGCAAAGGTTTTGTCCTGGGTTTTAGAAGAAAAAGCTCCCCAATCCGTTAACCACAAGTAGGATAGTAACATATGTGGATGCATGATATTTGTCTCACAGACTGGAACCAAGGTAATTTCTTTTTCAGATTGTACTAGAAGATAGTGTGTCTTCGATTCAATGGATATCGAGTTAGCACCTGCGACTATATTTAGAATAGGGTTAGTCATGTCTTGGTTAACTACAATCGGACCGAGGTTTGCACCATTTATTGGTAGCAACTACCGCATGCATGATTGTATTTCGCAACTTTTGTTAGCTGACTATAACCCTTTACATGAGCAATAAAGATCTCACGTTAGTCATAAGAAAAGAATTTATAGCCTCAACATGACTTCGAGTGTGTTTGGTTGAGCTGTGGATTTTGAAAAATCTTATGTGAGTTGTGAGAAAGTTGTTGTGAGGTGAGAACTACTGTGGAAAAGTTGAAAGTTGTTTGGTTGGGAAAACTGTGAAACTAAAAGGTCGAATTATACAAAGCAGCAACATGGATATACACTGCAGCAGCAATTTCAGCAGCATCAATTATACCGAAGCTGGTGCTAAATCTATATCAATATAAAAAGACCCAAAGGGACAGATTCAATTGATCTCGGCCATCGAACTAAGTTAATCCAACGACCTAGACTGCTCCAATGGCGAGAGTTAAACATGTTTAACGTGCAATTAATATCATACCAAATATTGCACTAATCACAGATTAAACACAAATAATAACATATCTAATATTCACATGCAATTAATATATTCCTAAATATTAACATGTGTTGCACGTGCGCATTTACTAGTAAGCATATAGTAACTCATGTCTGATGATCACATGTGGAGAAAATTAAGGTCGAATACATCAAAGATAGCCACAATCCATCCAGTCTAATTATAGCAAGCAAAGCATAGCCCAAATACTAGAGTCGATCTGGATATTAACACTACACCAGCCAGCTACTAGATTCGCAAATACGGCACTACTCCATCAATCGTCACTGCGGAATTAATGCATACTGCCCTAAATTATTCCCTTGCAGCTTGCTGCTAGCTAGCTGAACTAATAGGCCGCGTACTGCACTACTGCTTGCCCCACCCATCACCTCGAAGGAGGTCAGACAGGCAGGTCAGGTCGCGCACCACCATGTAGCAAATGACCACGGTGTAAAAGATCCAGCCGAAGACGTATCCTCCTGGGTAGGCGGCGAGGGAGATCCGGAAGTGGATGGCGTACATGCCATGGAAGAGGAAGGTGACCGCGAGCGCGAGGTAGGCGAGGGCACGGCGGGCCCGGCGACGGTGGCATGGGAGCAGCAGCGCCAGCGCCGCCGCGGCCGACTGGGTTGCGGCGCAGCACAGCATCCCGATCCAGAGGCAGGGCAGAATGGATGATGACTGCAGAGGACACCATATCAAATTATCAACTTGGCGCATGATGAATCGGTCGCGATGTCAAGCATCCGAGGGGTAGTACAGTGTACACGGGGGGTAGTTAGTTACCTGGATGCACTGGAGGTGGGTGTAGCCAGCTATGTAGAGGGATGCTTGGCCGCCGGCGATGGCGAAGGCGTTGACGAGCGCCCATGCGCAGACCAGTGGGACATCATCCCGGATCTGCTTTTGGGCCACGCTCAGAGGCAGCGGATGAGGCGTCTTGCCGGCGTCCATGGCTGTCCAAGCTCCGCAACAGCGTAGGTTAGGTTAGTTCCCCTTCTCTAATTTCATGTCGCCATTCAACAGGAAGGAAGGCCGAAGAAAAGCACATTAGCAAGGTGGCCGGAGATGGAGGGGACTCACCGTCGCTCACTGGTCGGATGCACGCGAGGTTCTTCGATCGCTTGGTGTGCTTCTTTCCTCAAGGGGCTCGAGCTGCAATTGCAGAGCACAACGACGACGCTGGTGGTGGAGGCCGGCCGGGGCTGTTTAAGTGTGGCCGG